GCAGTGTCGGCGCTGTGCTTGCGGCCGGTCAGTGGCAGCCTAACGTTACCGGGGCCTGCTGCCCCCGCTGGGCAGCCTGGCGTGGGCCTCGGGGCTCAGACGGTATCAGCTTTGGCACTACGCAAAACAGAGGGCTGAAGAGCAGCCCCCAGCAGAGCGCGCATCCTGAAGCCAGCCGGAGGGCACTGAAGGGTCTGCAGTGTGGGTCTGACTCGACAGTCACCCATGGGTGTACACGCCCAGTCTTCCGAACGACCCCATGCCTTGGAGACGTAACTCGGTGTTTCCCTGCTGAGAAGGGACACCTGGTGGCACCTCTCGCCCGCCCAGTGGGTTTTTGCAACACCAGCCCGATTCACACCGGCTGACCGGAGAGCTGCTGCCAAGGAGAGCGGCCGGCTCAGCACTGCCTGGTCAGGAAGGGTGCTCTCCCGTTTCTTTCCAGATTCCCACGTGGTTTCATTTCATACCGAAGAATGCCGTCTGACAAGGCATTGGGGGTTCTGTCGTCATTGTTTAAGTGAACAATAGAACGAGTGGGGGTTTATTTTAAGCATTTAATATTTTTTAAATTATTATTTTAGTTTGCTATAGGGCATATGCGCTCATTATGGAGAAATGGGGGGAGAAAGTACCCCTCGGGGAATGGCCTCGCCATAATCCCTCCTCCGTTCTTCTCTGGGGATTTTGGTGTGCGTACACACCCCCAGCGTGTGTTTAAGCCGTCCCTCTGGGACTCGAACCACCCCATTGGCCACGTGGGTCCAGTTGCCGTAACCTCTGCACCACTGCTGGCCCAGTAGTGTGCGTGTGGTTTATTTCTCGTGCGAGTGAACAAGGGAGAGAGGGAAAGGGACACAGAATCGGGCTCCCCCACCCGCCCCAGATCTTGGACACACACATCCCTGGTGTCCTCGGGTTGTCTCCGGACTTAAACCCGAACCTCGCCACGTGGGTCAGCGTGCAGGCCGTCGCCCTTTTATCACAGCAGCAGCTGAGCCCCGCCCAGGGTTCCGTGTACCCACACCGTTGGGCAGTCGGCACTGTGACTCACTTCAGAACCTTTCCACCAGGAGGAAACCGTGTGCCGCCAGGCGTCGCGCACCGTCTCCCAGCCCTGGCAACCCCGAGTCCACTTCCCACCTCCGCAGGCCGGCCTGCCCCGGGCCTTTCATAGCAGCGGAATCAGCACGTGCCCTCTGGGTGCTGTCGGGAGTGAGCGCCTCTGCTGGTGTCGCTGCCGGTGTGCAGGGACACAGCTGCTCTCCGTGTCCATCTTGCGCCCTGCAGCTCACACCTCAGCCCAGGAGCACACCTTCCGTGAGGGTCAGATTGGACCGCCCCGCTCCCAGCCCACCCCGAGATGGCAGAGTCGCTGAGACACACAGTTAAGGGACCGCGTGGACACGGGTCTGAGAGTGTCTGCTCCCCTCTCTGGCTCTGTGCGTCCACGGGGAGATGCGCCCTCTCCCACAGGTGCTCACGGGTGACGGCCAGGCCCTGCAGCACATCTGGAGGCGAAAGCCAGCCCGTCCAACACCTCCGACTCAGAAGGCCTCTAGGGAGGGGAGGCAGATCCCGGGAATCTTTGTGCCTCAGCTCCCTGATGTCGGCCAGGGCTGCAAGCCCAGCACCAGCGTGGAGTGTCTCAGCCTAGGAGGCAGCGGACCGCCAGGGCCAGAGGGGCCTGGGTTCGGGGCTGCTGCAGTCGGCACCCTTTGACAGCAGCTCCCCTGAGCCAGTTCAGCTGTACCCTGCCCTCCGATAGCGCTTCTGCGCTTGGTTCTAGTCAGGAAACGTTTCCCTGCTCCCCTGGGCCTGAGGTCCCTGAAGCCAGGAGAGCCCTTCCTGCCCGCCCTCCAAGACAAGCCTGCTGATATTCCCTCCTGTGCCCTCAGAGGAGAAGAGCAGCGGGTTCCGGCTGAAGCCGCCGACGCTGATTCATGGCCAGGCACCCAGTGCAGGTAGGCCACTTGCCCGCCCACCCTGGAAGATGGCCACATGGCGCTGCCCCGCCCCTTCCCAGGCCCCTGCACCCAGCCTGCTCTAGGTTGGCAGCGACCTAGCCCAGAGCCCTGGAACACGGGTGTGGAAAGGGACCAGGGAGGTGGGGCCTCCCGCCCTGGGCTCAGGAGAGGGGGTGGTGGTCAGGAGCAGGCTGGGACGCTCGGGCCCTATGCCCAGCAATGCCACTGTGGTCCAGACTGCCCCTGAGTACCCTGGAGCTCGCACGCCATCTTGCTGACCCTGATGGACGGGGCCGCTGAGACCCACTCAGGAGGCTGCCAGGGATCCCTGTGCAGGGGGCCCAGCCTCGTCCGCTGTGCATTGGGCAGAGGGCTCTTCCTGCATGGCGCTTTGAAAAGCAGGTGCAGAGCTGCCTTTACTGACCCGGGTGGGGTCCTGCATCCCAGTGGGTCACAGGGACGCACTGTCTCCCCCACCGTCTTGCTCATGCCGAGGGACCCCGTCAACCCAGGTGCTCGGTTCCGTGGGCAGTTCCCCTGTCACATGTAACGGCAGCCGAGATGCAGGTCGAGCCGTAAAGAGAAGATCCTGGGTCTGTTTTTGTTTTGTTTCTAAAGTGCTGCCCTGTGCATCCTCGCCTGCAAGGCACCTGACTGGGGTGGCGGGGCTAGTGTCCTCTGACGCACCCGGGGCCAGGGCATCTCCACCAGGTCCGACCCGGGAAAAGCCGACCTCTGTTCCCAGGTCTGCCGAGCCAGAAGCCCAAGGAGCAGCAGCGCAGCGTGCTTCGCCCGGCCGTGCTCCAGGCCCCACAGCCCAAGGCGCTGGCGCAGGCCGGTAAGACGGTTCTCTGGCTCAGGTGGGTGGGCCTGGGGTGGTGGTGCCACGACAGCAGCTGCTGCCCCACGCAGCTGGAGAGCTCAGGAGGGCACCCCGTAGGCCAGCCCGGGCCTCCGACTGCAGAGAACGGCCAGCCGTGAGCGGCGGCCCTGTCCCCACGCGCGTGCGCTGTCCTTCACGGCTGCCGTGGAGACCGGAGGCCCTACTGCACTTGCTGTGCGTGTCCCCTTCTCAGCCAGCCGTGAGGCAGAACGCCAGAACTGAATGAGTGGGCAGCACCAAGTTCGTGTGCCTGGAGTTCAGGCACCAGTCTGTTTCGGTGCACGGTGTCTCGAAGTCCCTGGGGGCCAGCAGGTGACGCAGTGATGAAGGTGGTTGGATGCTACATGGCCAGCCACACAGTTAAGTCCCAGACGCTGCGACTTGAAAAGCACACCGCTCACATGTGCCTGCTGCCCAGCATCCCCAGAGGAGAAGAGAAGGGGTTGCTGCGCGGCCATCCCCCGGGCGTGACTTCTCACTTTCTCTCTCTCCTCTCTCTCTGGGAGTACACCTTCCCTATAGCAAAATGTTTTAAACAAACGTTGAAGTCTGTCCCATTTTCTCCTCACACACATCACCCACGAGCGTGCCGAGGGCCCTCGTGTTCCCATTGCAGCAGCCCCTACATGTAGGGTCTCCCCACACCCACCAGTGGGTGCTGAGACTGCAGGGATCCCCACGTGTGTGCTCTGCGTGTTGGATCTGGTAACGCAGCTGCCGTGCGACCCATGGGCAGGTGGTGTTGGTGCACAGCGCAGACACGCACCGGCCAGGCAGGGCAGGAGGGGCGACACGCACAGCATCAGGGCAGCGTGGTGTTGGTGCGCAGCGCGGACACGCACCTGCCAGGCAGGGCAGGAGGGGCGACACGCCCAGCATCAGGGA